ACGGCGACGACGACGACGACGACGACGCAAGAGCGCGCGCGCACGCTTGTGTTGAAAATCCGTGGTGCGAAACGTTGGGTTTTTGTATGCTTTTTGGACGCGCGATTTCGAAACCTTTCCGAAACCGATGGGTTTTGAAGGATTTCGGCGTACGCGCGCGACGACGCGCGCGTCTGCACTTCGTCCTTTTGTTTGCAGAGGGTTCTCGCGACGGCACACGCGCAAGGGCGTTCGACAGATTTCGACACGCGCGCGCGCGCGACGCCCGTTTGGTAGCATGTTGTGAAAATCTTGAAAAACCTATGATTTTCTTCAGATTTCGCAAGAGCTTTCGCGGAAGCTGTTTTGGCAAATCAGTGTTGCGAAATTATGTGTTTTTGTATGTTTTTGGGAAACTTGATTGCGAAATCCTTCCGGCACCGAAGGTTTTTGAAGGATTTCGGCATGCGCGCGCGACGACGCGCGCGTGCGCACTTCGTCCCATTTGTTGCAAGGGATTCGCGAAAAAGTGCGATGGTAGAACAAAAAATGTCATCGCATTGTGTTTTTTAAGGGAACCTCAGGGGGGGGATACCGGTTTGGCTGGGATGATACGATTTCATATTTAGGATGGACGAGTGTGCAGAATACACATATATATATGAAATTATATTATCCCAGGGGGAAGCGTTAAGTCCGGGGGGGGTAGAGTCTATTCTCTTTTTAGAAAGGAGAATCTATGTAATGCACTCTCCGTGTTGCAAAATATGAGGTGCGATCTGTGTGGTGCACTCTATGCGGAGCGATCTTTGCGGTGCAATCTATGCGAGGCGGCGACGGGGCGGCGATGGCGACGACATAGCCGCCAGAGTGGCCGTCCGGCCCAGACGACGGGCGGCGACGAGGCGGCGACGGCGACGACATAGCCGCCAGACCGGCCGTCCAGCCCAGACGACGGGCGGCGACGAAGCAGCGACGGGGCGGCGACGGCGATTACATAGCAGCCTGACCAACTTTCAGGGACAATTCCGTAGAACACAAGTAAGAACCCCTAAGTGCAAGCACTGCTTGGGGAATGTCATTCAGCGTGGACCCAGAACACTGTGCGTGTTAGCAGTCTGTGTTGTGAAATCGATGTGACCCAGCATATGTAGTCAAACGCACCCTGCCGAACTTGAAGTTGTCAATTCCATTGCTCGCGCAATCATCCCACCCACGCACCCGCAACTTGGTCTAAAAAACCCATGCGGCGGCGGTTCCGATGAGTGTTTGGTGTTGGCTGATGCATTTTTGCGGCCGCGCTGGCCTGCGCATGCTCGCCCGCGCAGCGGCCAGCTAGTTTGGCGGGACCGCCGCGGCCGCGGGGGCGCTGACCGCTGGGCATTTCCCAGCGGGCATTTCAGTGCGAACGACTTGGGCGGGCACGGTAGCATGGCAACGTCGACAATTGTAGACACGATGATAATAGTAGCGATGTTGGTGACGAGCGCGAAACGACGACTGCAAGGCCAGCGACGGCGCGGACATGGATCACGCCGGCGACGATAACGGCGTCTTCGCGTCGGTGATGACGGTTTTGGAAGGAGTTCGGCATGCGCGCGAGGCCGACGCGCGACTGTGACCCGCATGATGTTACTTGACACGGATCGTGCCCCCCCCCCACAGCACGCTCGAAATCGAATGAATTCGACATGCCGACAAATGTTTGTCATATGTTCTCGGGACATTCGGTTTTGAAGTCTTGACGTAGCCTGAAGTTGTTACCAGGATTCCGCCATGCCCGCGCGACGATGCGCGCGTGCGCATGTCATCCCATTTGTTGCAAGGAATTTCTGGAAACTGCTTATTTGTGTTAGACGAGTGAGCGCGCATAGTTTTTTTGGTCGGAGGATGACAGGGTGGGGGGGGGGACACTGGCATGCCTGGGATGGTATGGATCCCATATCTAGGATGGACGGTGGGGCAGAATCATATGCAAATTGCAATGCGCGAAAGGGTGCCGTCAAATCTGGGGGGGGGGGGAAGCCACATCTTTTTAAGAATCGGGCATCTACGCGAGGCGGCAACGAAGCGGCCTACGTGGTGCAATCTAGGCGGTGCATTTATCGAGTTCTCCCTGGTGGGTTGTCAACCCCAGTGTTCGCGCAATCATCCCACGCACCCACCCGTAACTTGGCTCGCAAAACCCATGCGGCAACGATTGCGATTATTGCTTAGCGCTGGCTGGCGCATCGCTGCGGCCGCGCTAGCGCGCGCGGGCTCGCGCGCAAAGCGGCCAGGTCGTTTGGCGCGGCCGCGTGGCACTAATCGCCAAGGACTTCCCGGCGCGTTTCGCATGCCGCGCTGACGCGCGGACACTTCATTACGAGTCGGTGATTCGGGTGGGCGCTATGTCATGGTAACGTCGACAACGGCGGACAGGATGATGATATTAGCGATGCCGGTGACGATGATGCCGATGAAGACGGCAAGGCCGATGCCGGCGCCGATGCTGACCACACCGACGAAGATCATGATGCCCACATGTCGGGGATGAAGGTATTGGAAGGATTTCGACATGCGCACGTGGCCAACGGGCGCGAGTGGCCCGCATGGTCTAATTTTGAACGGACTCGTGCCCCCCCAACCCAGCAAGCGCGCAAAGGGTCTCGAATTCTTCCAACGCGCGCGCGGCAAACCCGCTTGGTCGCATGTGATGAACATGTTGGAAACCGATGTTTGTCGTATGAATTCGCAAGAACCCGCGCGCAGGCCTCTCGGTTGTTCGCTGGGATGTTTGCCTCTTGGGGCCCTTTTGGGAAGCCTGTTGGTTGGGGGCCTCCGGGGTCATGTGTTGGACCTCCTGGGGGTCTCTTGGGCCCTCCTCGGTGGCCTCTTGAGGCCGCGGGCTCGACATGTCCGTTGGGGGGACCCTGTCTGGGCCCCCTGTGGGAGCCGTTTGGGGGGCCTTGTGGGCCGTCTTGGAGGCCTTTGGGAGCGTTTGGGGGCCCTATTGGGCTGTCTTGTGGCCGTCTGAAAGGCTTTTTGGGTGATCTCAGGGGGCATCTTGGGCCATCTGGGAGCGTCGAGAAGCCGAAAACGCGAATACCCCAAACAATGTCAAAAGCCAAACTGGAAAAGCCAGGGAAAATTGTGGTTTCTTCTTGGAGGCCTGTTGGGCCGTCTTGGGGCCATCCTGGGCCGTCTAGAGGCGTTCCTTGACCGCTTGGGCGCTCGGCGGGGAGCTCCGCGAAAGTCTGCGGGTCGTCTGGGGCGTTGCAGCCGTCCCAGAGGTCATGCGAAACACCTTGGGAGTGCCAAGAGCGTCCGGGAAATTGGCGGTCCAGGCCGTTCAAAAACTAAAATGTTTGCTGCAGCAACAGCAGCAGCACCACCACCGCTGTGAGCACAATCCTGGCTGCAGCAGAAGCATAGCTGTGAGCCTTGGGGCATTCACTTCGTGCAAAGGGCACGGTGGCGGGTATGTTTTCGGGAACCTCGATTTTGAAATCCTTGCGAATTGTTTGGTTTTTGAAGGAGTTGGGCATGTGCACACGCCGTCGCGCGCGCGTGGACTGTGTCTAGTTTCCTGAAGAGGGTTCTCGAACAAATATCGAATAGTATTAGTTGTCTGGGATGAGGGTAGGGGTGAATCCAGCCTGGCTGGAATAGTATGATTTCACTTGGAAAATCAACGATGGCGAACTGCACATCCCCAGGGAGCCAGATAATCCCGATGGCGGGAGGGGGAGATTTTTCAGAACGGAAAATCGGTTTAGTGCCATGTACGTGGTACAATTTACGCGGTGCAATACATGCAATGCATTTGATGTGGTGCAATACATGTGGTGGAATATATGAGAGGCGACGACGGGGCGGCGACGGCGAGCACGGAGCCGCCAGACCGCCACCCAGGCCGGGTTCTTTTGAAAATATCGGAGAACCCTTAAGTGCAAGAACTATTTGGCGAAAAGCAAGACTTTGGGAGAAGGGGCGTCGCGGGACCAGGAAGTCCCTCGAGAAGGAGACGCGTGTATGCGTCGAGGGAAACTGACACACCGAGAGTCCTGGGAAGGCGAGGCCGAGGGCGAAGGGACCCCGGGCTTCCACTGTCCACCAAAAAAGTCTGGGAAGGGGGGCCGCGCGATTTTACACTTGGCTGACCTGGGGGGAGTTGGATCACGAGAGGGGTGGACCCAGAGCGCGCTCGTAGGGGCCCGACGCAGGGTGTCGGTCGGGGGAGGGGGGAGCGTGTGCTTGCCACCCAGACCCCCTCGGGTCATGAAAAAATCGCAAAGGGTTTTCAATCGTTTTCGGCCTCCAGGGGCCCTCGACGGGCCTCGGGACCGTCAAACAACGACTCGGGATGAAAAGACTGTCCTGGGCAAGTGGTCGAGAGGTCGATCGCTGAATGCAGCGCGACAGCAGCGTCTTGCGCGCTTGGGCCTGGCCTCCCGCACGTACCCCAAATGCGAGCACCAGAGGTCACTCCTTGCCTGGGGTCCCAGACATGCGGCGCCTCGATTTTCTCGAGACGCAGGCCCCCGACCTCTCGACCACTTCCCTGGGAAGGGCCCTTCAGCTCGAGCCCTTGTTCGACGGGCCCAGCGAGGGCCCCCGAGAGGCCGAAAACTTGGAAACATTTCCGCCCCGTTTTTCTGGGCCTTCCAAATGGGGCACGAGCAGATGGGGTCGGAGGATCGCGCCGCATCGCCGATCCGGCTCGATGTGGAGCCTGTGTTTCACCACGCCGACGTCGCCGGTGCATCGCCGGCGTCGCCAATGCATCGCCGATACATCGGCGACGCATTAGCGATACTCGGACCCCATCTAGGAGACCTCTACTCTGGGTTCCTAATAGGCGTGGAGGGGTACCCCCCGACGGGGGTCAACCTCGCCTCGTCGTCGCGCCGCGACAGGGGTCGGAGCGCCTTCGGCGCGCGGTGGCTGCCCGCGACCGGGGTCGATGTGTGCCTGTCGGCGGGGGTGCCGCCCCGCCGACGCTCACTAAGAGACTCGGAGTATAGCCTCCGCCCCGTTCGCTGCTCGAGGCGCCGGGAGGTCCGGGCCACTCCCGCGTGCATCCGGGCGGGCCATGGCGGCGGCAGCGCCGCAGCCCACCAGCCAGGTCGCGGGCATGGTGGGCTGGCGCGTCGACGGCGGGCCCCCCGAGGCCAGCGTCGTCGTCCTCGTCGTCGTCCTCGTCGTCCTCGCCCTCGTCGTCGTCTTCGCCGTTTTCGTGTCGTCGGCGTCGTCGCCCTCGTCGTCGTCGTCGTCGTCGTCGTCGTCGTCGCCCTCGTCGTCGTCGTCGTCGCCGCCGCCCTTATCCTCCCCTAAGGCGCCTTAAGGGGGGGTTCTGCCAGCGAGCATTTCTGTCGAAGCGGCTGCCAGAGATTTAAAGGCCTTGTAGCTATATCCAAGTGGTGCAACACACGCGCCGCGCCGAGTGAAGAGTGCACGCAGGTTTTGCCGCTCGTTGAGCCCCCTGCCATGGCGCGCCCTGCCTGGGCGAGTGAAGGGCTCCGCGCCCCGCGACGGGAAGTTTTTCTTTTGCGCCACCCGACGCATTGCTCCCAGCCAGACCTGCATGGCGTGGTTTTGTTCTCCCTGAGGTTGATGGATACTGATAAATAGAATCGTCGTCGTCGTCGCCCTGGTGGTCGTCGTCGTCGTCATCGTCGTCCCGCGCCCGCGCCCGCGCCGCCCGAGGTGGCCACGCCCGAGCGCCCAAGGGCCACGCCGAGCCCGTGGCGCCTCGAGGCCGAGCTGCGGCAGCGGAGCCGGCGCGCGGGGCTGCTGAGGGCGGAGCTGGCCGAGGATGGGCCGGCGTTCCGCGTGCAGTACGGCCCCAAGAGGGCCCTAGAGCGAGCACTCAGAGGGTCCACGACAAGCCTACAAGCCCCCAAGATCGCCCCAAGATCGCCCCAGAGACCTCGACGAGGGCCCCAAGACGTGCCAAGACGGCCCATGACGGCCCCAAGAGGGCCCTAGAGCGAGAACTCGGAATTACATGTCCAGCTATCTGCCCAAACGGGACCTCCCAGACCGCCAGCAGGCCTCCAAGAAGCCCCCGAGAGGCCCAACAGAGGCCCCCAAACGGCGCCCAAGAGCCCCCAACGAGGCTTCAAAACTGCCTCCACGAGACTAGTCACCGACCAGATGCGTCAAACTCCCAGGGAGCGGCCGGTGATGCGCCGCTGGCGTTCTCGATCGAGGTCGGTCGGCCACGCGAAGGGGAGGGGGCAGGGGGAGGGGGGAAGGCTTGGTTGGAAGCAGCCTCCTGCTTCTTAGAAAGGCGCAGGCCTTCTTAGCAGATGTTAAGACCGGCGCCCTGTGAGAAGCAGCCTCCTTCTAAGAAGAGTCGGACCGAGGTATGAGATCCAGCCGCTCCCGCCCTGCGGGTTGGGGCGCGCGAGACCGTTCTGACAGAGTGCCTGGTGGGATTCGCATGGGCCTGGTGAAGCTCCCTGAAGTCCCTCCTGTGGACCTCCACTCTGTCGGCGGTCCCTCGCAGACCCCCCGAAAGCGAAGGTTCCAAGTAATCTCAAGGGCCCAAGGACGACCCCAAAGAACCCAAAAACGGCCCCCAAAGGGTCCAGGAAGGCTCCACGTCACCGACAGACAGCCCCAAGACGCCCAAGATGGCTTCGAGACGGTCCACGAGGCCCCCAAGACGCCCCAAGAGGGCTTCGAGAGGCCTTCAAGACGGACCCGAAAGGCAAAATCGTCACATTCCCATGGGGAAACGCATACTTCTAGCATGTGCGACTTTTGAGATTCTGAGCGTCCACGACGGCCCTAGAGGCGCCCAAGAACGCCCGAATATGAACCCAGAGGCCCCGAAGAGGACCCCAATACGACCCAAAAGAACTCAAAGACGGCCCAAGAGGCACCCAAGACGGCCGAAGAAGGCCCCAAGAGGGACCTAGAGGGGCCCAACAAAAGGGTCCAAGAAGGCTCCACGTCGCCGACAGACAGCCCCAAGACGCCCAAGATGGCCTTGAGACGGTCCACGGGGCCCCCAAGACGTCCCAAGAGGGCTTCGAGAGGCCTTCAAGAAGGACCCGAAAAGTAAAAGTCGTCCCATTCGTATGGGGAAACGTATACTTCTAGCATGTGCGACTTTTGAGATTCTGAGCGTCCACGACGGCCCTAGAGGCGCCTAAGATCGCCCAAGACCCCCGCGACGTCAACGGATCCAGGGCCTAAAGACGACTCAAGAGAGCCCCCAGACGGCCCCCACGACAGTCCGAAAGAGCTCCAAGTTAGCGACAGATCGCTCCAAGACGCCAACATAGCCGCAAGACGGCCCACGAAGCCCCGAAGACGCCAGAAGAGAGCCTCCAGAGGCTTTCCAAGACGGCCCCACGAAGCAAAATGCGTCCCATCCCTTGAGAAAACGTGCGTTTTGAGCGCGTGCGACTTTTGGGCCCTCAGAGGGTCCACGACAAGCCTACAAGCCCCCAAGATCGCCCCAAGATCGCCCCAGAGACCCCGACGAGGGCCCCAAGACGTGCCAAGACGGCCCATGACGGCCCCAAGAGGGCCCTAGAGCGAGAACTCGGAATTACATGTCCAGCTATCTGCCTAAACGGGACCTCCCAGACCGCCAGCAGGCCTCCAAGAAACCCCCGAGAGGCCCAACAGAGGCACCCAAACGGCGCCCAAGAGCCCCCAACGAGGCTTCAAAACTGCCTCCAAGAGACTAGTCACCGACCAGATGCGTCAAATTCCCAGAGAGCGGCTGGTGATGCGCCGCCGGCGTTCTCGATCGAGGTCGGTCGGCCACGCGGAAAGGGGGGATAGGGGGAGGGGAGAAGGCTTCTTAGAAGCGGCCATGCTTCTTAGAAGGCGCGGGCCTTCTTTGTAGGTGTAAGGCCGCAACCTTCTAAGAAGCAGCCTCATTCTAAGAAGCCTTCCCCCCTCCCCCATACCTCCTTGTGTGCGCCGCCAAGTCGGTTCGGGGAGGGTGCCCTAATTCGAAGAAGAAGAAGAATACGGCATAAACATTAACTGTTGGCGCTCCGCGCGGATTTCTTGAAATCGCGCTGGGCCCCCCTCCTGGGCGCGCGGAGCGTGCCAGGGGCGGCGCCGGAGGCGCCGCCGGGGACGCCCAGCGCGGATACAAGAAATCCGCGCGGAGCGCCAAAAGTTTATGTTTATGAGTTTGTCCTTCTTCTTCTCCTTCTTCTTCTTATACTAATGTTTTTCGTGTTTGTTGGATGTTCTTGTGCATCCTGGGGAGGGTACTGGGTGTTCTGTGTGTTTTGGCCGACGGAGGATCTCATGTTCTTGAGGGATGTGATTCTGGGCTGGGTCCAACTGAGCGCCAGAACTCGGGTTCGCCTACGCTTTCTGACGAGCCCTCTTTGGGTTTAGACGGCTCAGTTTTTGCTGGATGTCCGCAACGGGAGCTCGCGTCAAATTTCTGATTGGGTCTCGTCATTTTCATGATGGCCCCGTCAGGCCAACCCGTGGTCCCCGGACCCAGAGTCTTATGTCTCCTTGACACCTGGGGTTCCGATCGCCGAAATCCGCCGGGTGCGATGCGATAGCAGCGGCTTGCGCGCCTGGAGTTGGCCCCATAGCGGCCCCCAGAAGCCGTGTACCAGGGTCACCCCTGCGAGTAGAGGCGCAGGCTTTTCATAGCTTTCGGCCTCTCGAGGCCCCTGCCGGGCCTCGGGGCCGTCAAACAGCGGCTCAGGCTGAAGAGCTGGCCCCTGGGAAGTGGTCGAGAAGTTGGGGACCCGTGTCTCGAAAAGGTCGAGACGCGAGATGCATGGGTTGCAGGAGTTGGCCGTTGGGGACCCGCGTCTCGAAAAGGTCGAGGCGCGAGGTGCATGGGTTGCAGGAGGCGGCCCCGAGGCCCAGAGGGCGGGGCCCCAGCTTCCCTTGAGGTCCTGGCGTCGCGGCTCTCTTGTGTCAAGCGTAAGCTCTCGGGCCCTGGGGCCCTCATGGGTCGATCCGGCTCGAAAAATGCCGCAGGAAGGTGCAGTCCCAGGCTCTGGCTGCAAGTCCCCACGATGTTGCAATCTGTTCGCGTCGTCGGATCTTAGGAGGAGGAGGAGGAGGAGGAGGAGGAGGAGGAGGAGGAGGAGGAGGAAGAGGCGGAGGCGGAGGCGGAGGAGGAGGACGAGGTCCAGGGTTCTGGCTGCGATTCCTCACGATGTTGCAATATGTTCGCGTCGTCGGATCGCAGGAGGAGGAGGAGGAAGAGGCGGAGGCGGAGGAGGAGGACGAGGTCCAGGGTTCTGGCTGCGATTCCTCACGATGCTGCAATCTGTTCGCGTCGTCGGGTCTCAGGGTCTCCACCAGACATCCTCCGAGACGTGCTCGTTCAATCCGCGGCCCCAGCGCTCCCAGCCTGCCTCCCCCCCGGGCTGAGTTTTGTTGCGCCCCGGATGCCACGTTCGGCGTGCCCGCGGGACCCGAGGACGGGCCCTGGAGGCCGAAGCTGGGCCAAGGCGCCGCACAGTGGGGATCCATACCAAGAGGCACCCTGCTTGCCTCCAGGGTGCCCCGGGTTGCCTGCGCTTCGATGGTTTCGCTGTTGCTTCAGGAGGGGACAAGACACACAGACACAGTGAATCGTCGACCCAGGAGAATATGGGAAAATATGGGAAGTGGGGGGGGAGACGAAAACCTGGAAAATACTTGAAAGCATGGGGGAATCTTCGGATTTGTGTATATTTATTTGTGTCCCAGGGCCCCTTCAGGAAAGCGCGACGTGCCCACACCAAAAAAAACAGTGGAAGTCCTGGGGTCTCAGGGTTGGGTTTCTTGAGGAAGGTTTCTTGTGGTCGGGCTCCTACTGTATTGGGAAAACAGAATGTCACCAGAGCTCCGGGTGCAGGGACCGACACCGAGCGCGCTCCAGCACTCGCAAAGAAGCACATGTGCTGTTCGATGTAGTGGAGCTTGTTTGCCTCGGCGCAATGGATACAGGCCATTTGCGAGCATCTACTTTGCAAGTAGTTGGACGCCCCTGATTAGATCGTGCGGGGCCAGGACGAGGACAGATCCGCTCCAGAGCTTTCCGGAACGCTCTGGGAAGGCCGCGGCGCCCGAGACATCCTCCAGAGCCGCCAGATCTCAGAGAGTCTCGACGTATCGTTACCCGAATTTCTTATCGTCCTGGCTTCTTCTCAACGGAGGCCCAGGTGGCCGACGCAAAAAATGGAGTCCTCTTCGCCGACATCGGCGCGTGAGCTGCCCGCGTGAGGCCGCGCGTAAGCGCCCTCGTCTCCACTGTGGTGTGCCGCGCTGGCGGCCCGCGTAAGCCGCCGCGTAAGGCGCTACGTCATCGCGCACGAGGCCCGTTGCTTTCCGTCGCTCGGGTGGCCCCCGGGGGAGCGCCCCGCGACTTGGGGGCCGCCTCCGACGGCCCTCCCGGCAGAGGAAGAGCTGGCCTGCCGGAGGCTCCGGGAGCGCCTGGGCATCGCCGCCGAGAGCCCGCAGAAGGGCGAGGAGGAGGAGGCGATGGCGCTCTCCGATCCATCTCCCCCTTTCTTCGGAGAAGGAACAACCCATAATTTTTTGGCGCTCCGCGCGGGTTTCTTGGATCCGCGCTGGGCCCCCCCAGCGGCGCCTCCAGCGCCGCAATTGGCGCGAGTCGCGCGCCAGGGAGGGGGGCCCAGCGAGGGTCCAAGAAATCCGCGCGGAGCGCCAAAAGTCTATCTTTATGCCGTTTTTCCCCCCCCTCCTGTCTGGCTGCTTTCTTTTTCTTTTACGAATATTCTCCTACATCCGGTGGGGACATCCACCTGGCTGCCTAATTTGATCAACCCCGCAAGGCCCATTGGCCCTTGGGGGGGTCGCGTTCGACGAACCTTCAGGCCGTCAGGAACCAGGAGCCAGACGGCTGTGCGCAAGAGTGGACCTTCGCCCGAGCGACCTCTGGTCCCAGGCCCCCTCGAGTCATGAAAAGATCACCACGGGAGGTTTTCCGCTATTCTCGGCCTCCAGGGGCCATTGTCAGGCCTCGGGACCGTCAAGAAACGACTCGGGATGAAAAACGGGTCCTAGGGAAGGGGTCGAGATCAGATCTCGGGGGGGTCGACGTGTTGAAAAAATCATGACGTCGGGGGCTTGGGTCTGGTGCACAGTTTTCGGGGGCCGATGGTCCTGAGAACGCGTGTTGGCCCAACGTGTGTGTTACATCCCGCTCGGATTCACCGACAGCACTCAGCCTGTGCCTGCCGTCACGACGCCGCTCTCGTCGTATTGAAGGGCTTCGGTGGACAAGCGCTGGCGCCAGCACACGTCCCGAGGACCTTCGGAGGGGGGCCCGGGGGAGAGGGGGGCCCAGGCCCAGGCCCGGGCACGCAGGCCGCCACAGTCACACCGCACGCAGCGATGTCTGAGACCTGACGTGGCGAAGCAAGCATTCCATCGCGGAAAATCACGGCCGGGGCCCTGCAGCGGAGACCCATGCCAAGAGACACCCTGCTTGCCTCCAGGGTGCCCTGGGTTTCTGAGGTTTCGATGGTTTTGCGATGGAAAGCGTGACGTTCCCACACCAAAAGTCGATGGACATCCTGGGGTCTCAGGGTTGGGTTTCTTGCGGAAGGTTTCTTATGGTCGGGCCTCTACTGCATCATCGTGAAAAATCACGGCCGGGGCCCTACTAGACCCCATCTCTCCGCGGCACTTTTCGGGCCGGATCCGTATCTGCGAGGGCCTTTGGGCCCAGGCCCGGGCGGCGACGCTGGGTGCAAGACAGGCTTGCGACGCCAGGACCTCAGGACCCAGACCCCCGACGTCATGATTAGTTCATGGCGTCGCCCTCCAGAGGCTCGAGGAGGTCTGGGGATTCCGGCAGGCCGCGCACCAAAGGCCACCGTTGGCCTGCACGGCGGCACCCTTGCGCGCAGCTGGCAGGAGGGCCCCGCCGGCCGCGGCTCGCCCCGCGCGCTGGCCTCGCAGCTCGCGGCGCTCGCCACGCCGCTGCGCCGCGGGTGCCCGCCCTCGCCCGTGCTGCCCCGGAGCGCCGCCGCGATCCTGCTGTCGCCGGGCGCCCCGGTGCGCGACGGGGGCGAGGATCGACAAAGAGAAAAACGCCATAAACATAAACTTTGGGCGCTCCGCGCGGATTTCTTGAGTCCGCGCTGGGGCCCCCCGGGCGGCGCCTCCGGCGCCGCCCTTGGCGCGCTCCGCTCGCCAGGGAGGGAGGGGGGCCCAGCGCGGATCCAAGAAGCCCGCGCGGAGCGCCCAAAGTTTATGTTTTTGGCGTTTCTCTTTCTTCTGGAGGAGGCCTTCGACATCGAGCGGCAGTACGAGGCGCTGCAGCCGCCCTCGGGCGCTCCGGGGCAGGCAGCGCTGGGCCCCGGCGGGCGCTGCGAGGAGGCGCCGCCGCCGCGGCTAGAATCGCCCGCGTCGTTGCCGCCCCGCGGCTCGCGCGCCACGGACGGCACACCGCCGGCAGAGGCGCTCGGCGAGGGGGGCCTTCTCCTCCTCCTCCTCCTCCTCCTCCTCCTCCTCCTCCTCCTCCTCCTCCTCCTCCTCCTCCTCCTCCTCCTCCTCCTCCTCCTCCTCCTCCTCCTCCTCCTCCTCCTCCTCCTCCTCCTCCCCTCCTCCTCTCCTCCTCCTCCTCCTCCTCCTCCTCCTCCTCCTCCTCCTTCTCCTCCTCCTCCTTCTCCTTCTCCTCCTCCTTCTCGCCTTTTCGCCTCGAGGGTTCTGAGGTTGGCTGGGTGCACTTCGAAGGGGCGCAGCTCTGCCGAGCCATGGCTTTGCCGGTGTTGCGATGAGCAAGACTCGCCAAAAGAGGGAAACCCAGGCCGTGAATCATTGGATCTTCGACCAGGTCATCATTCTGAAGGCGAAAGTGACCAAGGCCGGGAATCATAGGATTTTCGGCAAAGTCGTCATTGTAAAGGGCGTCGGGATGACCAAGACCCGCCAGGTGAAGATGAAGGCGACCAGGTTCGGGGATCATTGGATTTTCGACAGTCGCCATGGTGCAGGCGGGCAAGATCATCCCGAGCGTTTTGATCATCAAGACCCGCCAGAAGAAGGCGACCGAGGCCCGGAATCATAGGATCTTCGGCGAAGCCGTCATCGTGAAAGGCCGGTTTCTGAGCGTGTTCGGCCGTGCGGGGGCGGCGCGGTGTGTCTTGGGCCGTGCCTCGTTGCCATTGTTGGCGCCCTTTCGTTTTTCGGGGTCGTTGAGCCTCCCTTCGTCGCCTCTGCGGGTGCGGCTCGTTTGAGCCTCGGCGTTGGCCTGGGACGTCGGGGTCGTTGGTCCCTCCTCCGTCGCCTCTGCGGGGCGCGGATCGTAAATGTGCTTCGACGTGGGCCCGGGGCGCACTCGGCCTGTGCGCCAGAGGGAGTTCGGAGCTCTCTGCGTCATCAGCGTCCTCAACGTCCTCCTCCTCCTTCTCCTTTTTGTCCTCCTCCTCCTCCTTCTTTTCCTCCTCCTCCTCCTCCTCCCCCCCCCCCTCCCCCTCCTCTTCCTCCTCCTCCTCCTCCTCCTCCTCATTATCCTCCCCATTCTTCTTCCTCCTCCTCCTCCTCCTCCTGTTCCTTTTCCCTCCTCTTCCTCCCCCCTCCTCCTCCTCCTCCCCTTCTCCCTCCTCCTCCTTCTCCTCCCCCTCCTCCTCTTCCCCTTTTCCTCCTCCTCCTCCTCATCATCATCCTCCTCCTTCTCCTCCTCCTCCTCTTTCCCTCCTCCTCCTCCTCCTCCTCCTCATTCATCTCATCATCATCATCATCATATCAATCATCATCATCATCATCATCATCATCATCATCATCATCCTTCCCTCCTCTCCTCCTCCTCTCCTCCTCCTCCTCCTCCTCCTCCTCCTTTTCCTTTTTCCTCCTCCTCCTCCTCCTCCCCTCCTCCTCCTCCTCCTCCTCCTCCTTCTCCTCCTCCTCCTCCTCTCCTCCTCCTTTTCCTTCTCCTCTTCCTCCTCCTCCCTCATCCTCCCCCTCCTCCTCCCCCTTGTCCTCCTCCTCCTCCCCCTCCTTTTTCCTCCTCCTCCTCCTCCTTTTCCTCCTCCTCCTCCTCCTCCTTTCCTCCTCCTCCTTCTCCTCCTCCTCCTCTCCTCATCATCATCATCATCATCCTTCCCCGTCTCCTCCCTCTCCTCACCCTCCTTTTCCTCCTCTTCCTCCCCCTCCTCCTCCTCTCCTCCTCCTCCTCCTCCTCTCCTCCTCCTCCTCCTCCTCCATTCCTTCCCCTTATGAATAACTTCTCCTCGTCGCACCCCGAGGCCACTTTTTAGCGCGGGCTGGGCGCTTCGCCTGAGACGCTCTCATTATTTATGACCCTGAAGCTCAGAACTTGGCAACAGTTTCACAATCGGAAAGCGGGTGGTTTTCAAAATGTGGCCCCCGCCTTGGCGCCGCGCACACTCGTTTTAAGCAATTGCAAGAGTTCCACGGATTGGAGGCGGCTCCTCTCCACAATGCGGCTCTCGCTTCAGCGCCGCGCACATTCGTTTCAGAAATTTGCAAGAGTTCCACGGATTGAATGCGACCCGTTTTCAGAATGTGGTTTTCGCTTTAGTGACGCGCACATCCGTGTCAAAGATTTGCAAAAGTTCAGCGGATTGAAGGCGACCCGTTTTCAAAATGTGGCTCTCGCTTCAGCGCCGCGCACACTCGTACCCGAAATAGCGTTTTGGAAGGATTCAGGTTTATGAGGCACAACAGTTACGTTGATTCGCGGCGTTGAAATTCCAGTAATGGCGTCCTGGCACGGTTCCGGATCATCAAGACGCAACAGTCAGGTTGATCCGTGGCGTTGGGATCCTGAGAACAAAGTTTTGGCATGCTTCAGGGTCTTCAAACGGTTGTCTTCCAACGAGGCAGTTCCTTCTGTGGGAATGACCCTTTGTAGGCGCCTATGAAGAAGGATCTTGGAGGGAGGGTTTATTCCAACGTCGTTGATGAGGATTAGGTTTACACAATCCTTTTCCTCCTCCTACTCCTACTCCTCCTCCTCCTCCTCCTCCTCCTCCTCCTCCTCCTCCTCTTCCTCCTCCTCCTCCTTCTCCTCCTCCTCCTCCTCCTCATACCCCATTCCTCGTCCTTATAAATAATTTATCCCTGTCGCACCCCGAGGCTAGCTTTTAGAGTGGGCCGGGCGTTTCGCCTGAGACTTCCTCACCATCTGTGATTCTTAAGCTCAGAAAGTGACAGCAGCTTCACAGATAGAGGGCGGGTGGTTTTCAAAATGTTGCTCTCGCCTTAGCGCCGCGCACAATCGTCTTTTATTTGCCAGAGCTCCATAGATTGAGGGCGGGTGATTTTCAAAATGCGGCTCTCGCCTTAGCGCGCGCACATTTTTCAAAGATTTGCAACAGCTTCACGGATTGAGGGCGGGTGGTTTTCAACATGTGGTTCTCGCTCTAGCGCCGTGCAAATCATCAGAAAAATGCAAGAATTTCACAGATTCCCATGATCAACGTACCAGAAACTGCGTTTGGGAAGGATTCGGGATTATGAGGGTGCAGCAGTTACGTTGATTCGCGGCGTCCTGGCATGATTCCGGATCATCAAGACGCAACAATCAGGTTGATCCGTGGCATTGAAATTTTGAGAACAATGTTTTGGCATGCTTCAGGGTCTTCTAACGGTTGTCTTCCAACGAGGCAGTTCCCTCTGTGGAAATGAACCGTTGTAGGGGCCTATGAAGAAGGATCTTGGAGGGAGGGTTTATTCCAACATCTCTGATGAGGATTAGGTCTACACAAGTCCTCCTCCTCCTCCTTCTCCTCCTCCTCCTCCTCCTCCTCCTCCTCCTCCCCCTCCTCCTCCTCCTCCTCCTCCTCAGCCCGGCAGAGGCGGGCTCGGCGGTGCGCTGCGCGCCGCGGCTGGCCTCGCCGCAGCGGCGCGGCGCGGCTTCCGCGCTGCTTGGGGCGCGGCTGCGCCGCTGGGCGCTGCGCTCGCTGCTGCTCCCCGCTTGACGGCGCCGCCCTCCGGGGCGTCCGCACGAGCTCGGGCCCCAGCCCCCCCTCGAGTCATGGCAGGTTTCTGGTTCTGTTCGGCCTCTTGGGGACCTCACCGGGCCTCGGGACCGTCAAAAAAACGACTCTGGATGAAAAAACGGTCCCATGGAATTTGTCAAGACCTTTGGGGGTCGGCGCTATGGAAGAAACATGGCGTCGGGGTCTGGGGCCGGCACTCGAAGAACAACAAAATTGCATGAACGTAATTTCTCGGAGGTCCTCGCGGATTTCTTGGATCGGTGATGAGCCTCCCTGGCGGCGCCTCCTCCTACGCCGCCCTTGGCGCGCTCCGCGCCGATGCAAGAAATCCGCGCGGACCTCAGAGAAGTTATGTTTATGCCATGTTTGTTCCTCCAAGCACGGAGGTTGCCACTAGTCACTAGGCCTGACACCCGAGGCGGGCAAGCGGTGCGGCCCGTGGCGGCTTGGTGCGATGCGGCAGTGCGTCGTCGTATGTCGTGTGTCGTGTGTCGGGAACCTCAGCGAGGACGCCACCCCGCGTCTTTACAGGAGGAGTATTTTTACGCAGCCAGTGCCCGCATCGGAAATGGACTGTCACAGAAAACAGGATCCAGACAGCACCGCGAACCAGCCACACCGTTTGCCCGGCCTTGGCAATCGGCTTTGACGGCTCCGCTTATAATTAGGGGCAGCCGCGGCGGGCTTTGAGCGCGGCGTGCCTCACCCGTGAACCTCTCCTCTCCCTCCTCAGCCTGCAGTCATGCCTCTCCCCATCCCCACCCCTCCCCTCCGCTCCCTCTCCCTCCCCGTCTCCTCGTCCTCCCCGCCTCCCTCCCCAATCAAGGACAGGAGTGCCGAGGGAAACGGATTGCAGATCCCAGTGCTTCTACCCCAGGCCCTTGAGCAGTGTTTTGATAGTCCAGGGGCCCTTGGCGGTCCCCTGGGCCACAGACCTCCAGGACCCGGTTCCTTCAGGAGCCCTTCCTTCAGATCCGGCGCCGCGAAAAAAAGTGCATTGCCGTCAAGACAGGCAAAGACCGAAGCCCTGGACCCCGTCTTTCTGCGACGCCTCTCGGGCCAGATCGACATGTGAGGGTCCCAGGGCCCAAACTTGGGTGACAACGTCTGGTGAGAAAAGATGAGGCACCTGGACCCCAGGGCTCCTTCGTGGCAGCTCTCCCCCCCCGCCTCGCCTCCTTGGGATGCAACTCCTGGCAGGTGAACTGCAGCACCGGCGCTGCTATACCCGTAGTCGAAAACCAGCCTAATCCGGCAGAGTCCCGTGCAATCCAGCGCAATCCCGCTTAATCCAGAGCTCCATCCAACCCCATGCGGCTCAATGGCCTTTGCAAGGGGCTTGAAAGCCCTTCATCGTTCTTACGAAGACCTCCCAGCAGTTATTTCCTGAGTCAAGGGCAACGGTAGGGGGGGGATAGGCTGAGGGGGAGTCTGTGCGTCTGTGTGCGTGTCTGTGTGTCTGTCCGTGTGCGTGTCTGTGTATGTGTTTGTGCGTGTCTGTGCGTGTATGTGCGTGTGTCTCTGTGGGTGTCTGTGAATGTCTGTGTCTGTGTGTTCTGTGTGTGTCTGTGTGTGTGTCCGTGTGTCTGTCTGTGTGCATGCGTGTGCGTGTCTGTGTGTGTCTGTGTGTGCCTGTGTGTGGCGTGATTTGTGCGTGTGTGTGTATGTCTGTGAGTGTCTGTGTGTGAGTATGTGTGTGAGTATTGTTGTGTGTCTATGCGAGTCTTCGTGTGTCTATGTGTGAATATGTGTGTTTGTCTGCGTGTGTCTGTGTATGTCTGCGCGTGTGTGTGTGTGTCTGTACGTGGGTCTGCGCGTGTGTCTGTGCGTGTGTCTGTGTATACGTGTGTGTTTGTGTATCTGTCTGTATGTGTCTGGCTGTGTGTGTGTCTGTGTATGTCTGTCCGTGTGTGTGCGTGTCTGCCTGCGCATGTGTCTGAATGTGCGTCTGTGTGTGTCGGTGTGTGTTTGTGGGTGTGCCTCTGTGTGTGTGTCTGTGTGTGTCTGTGTGCGTGCGTGTGTGCGGGCGTGTGTGTGCGTGCGTGTGCGTGTGCGAGTGGGTGTGTGTGTGTGTGCGTGTGCGTGTGTGCGTGTGTGCGTGTGGTGTGTGGTGTGTGGTGTGTGTGCGCGTGTGCGCGCGTGTGCGTGTGCGTGTGCGTGTGCAGGTGCGTGTGCGTGTGTGTGTGCATTTGCGTGTTCGTGTGCGTGTGCGTGTGCGTGTCTGTGTGTGTGTTTGTGTGTGTGTCTGTGTGCGTGTGTGTGTGTGTGTCTGTCCATGTGTGTGCGTGTGTGTGTGCATGTCTGTATGCGCGCGTGTGCGTGTGCGTGTGCGTGTGTGTGCGCATGCGTGTGCGCGTGCGTGTGCGTGTGCTTGTGCGCATGCGTGTGCGTGTGCGTGTGTGCGTGTGTCCGTATTTGTGTATGTGTCTGCGTCTGTCTCTGTCTCTGTCTGTGTCCGTGTCTATGCCCGTGCCTGTATCGCCGATGCCGGCTCGACGCATCCTCCCCCCCTATCGGTGCCCTTTTTGTTCTCGATGCCTCCTCGAACGCCCCTGGCGCGCGGCGGACGGCTCGCGGAGGAGCAGAGGAGGAGAGGGAGGAGGGAGGGGGGAGGTGAGCCCAGTGTTAAGTCTGGCACGTCCCCTTACAGGAGGAATTTTCAAGAATAGTCAAAAGATGGTATGGGACGATGTTTCTACTATGTTTGGCAATGTTTGTAGATGCTTTGAGTCTTTTCAACTTTTCGCCCAAAGTCCGCCTGCAGGAGGACACGCCCGACCGAAACCCAGTGGGACTCGCGCGGTCGCCACAGCGGTCTGCTGAGGACGCCGCCAGCGCCGGCGACGGCAGACATCCCCCGCCAGGGGGAGACCTCCATTCACGAGGGCGACGAACACGTCGTAAGCCAGCCGCCGCGGAGGCTATCGCTGCCCCTCACCGTGAGCCTCCTCCTCCCCCCCTCCCCCGGGCGCTCTCGCGGGCGCCTGCCGCCCACGAATTCGGAGAGCCCCCCCGGCGCAGCACAGGCACGGCGGGCGCCGGGGCGGGGGCCCACGAGAGGTTCTCGCGCCCCCCCCCCTCGCCGCGGCGGGCGTGCGGGGGCGCCTCGGCCGACGGGGCACGGAGAGCCGGAGGAGGCTCGTGGGGAAAAGGAGGGAGCGGTTGTTCGGCGCGGGGGGAGCGGTTGTTCGGCGCGGAGGTCCCCGTGTGAGGCGCTCCAGAATCGGCCTCGCCTTCGAGGATCGAAGGAGTCTCGTCCTCGGCGGAATGCGGCGGAAGCAAAAGGGGGGCGGCCCCGCTGGCGGAAACCAGCGGAAGGCCGGCAGAAGCCAGCGGAATTGGAAATCTGCTTCCCAAGAGTTGGCAAAGTTTTTTGGTTCAGGGTTTCCAGAAACCGCCGTACAAGCGTCTCATTTGTGGTCACGTCGCGCTGTGAATGTCTGGCCGTGAGCGTGTTGGTGTGAGAGTGAATCCGAGTGGACGACGAGTATGACGACGGCGACGGCGGCTACGATGAGGGACAGCGACGACGACAGTACGCGACAACGACGTCGAGGAGGTCCATGGAGAAAGGAGGAGGCTCGAAGACGGAAGAGGAAGATCCCAACAACGCACCCTGATAGCAGCAAAGGTGAAAGGGCGGGTCGAGGAGTAGAAGTCCTCGCCGAGATGGCGTCTGCAGTTGGCCAGAGAGCCCTCAGAAAGAGAAGATGTAGCTGGGGCCGGGATCGGGCGCACGGCCATGTGCACCACAATTCATGTTTCAATTACCATTGATCGCGGCCGCCCGGACCAAATTGTAGCCAGCATTGAGTCGAGAGCACGATTCCTGCATGCACTGTGAGGAACTCTGAGGCGAAGCGGCCGCTGGACCGCCTCCCAGACAGGGCGTCATCGGGCTCTCCGTCCCCTCTTGTGGGGCTCTTTTGAGGTCCTTCTTTGCCATTGTAAAGAGCCTTCTGCGATGCGCGGTTTTAAAATCAAAACATAGAAATATGCTATGCATATACAAAAAAACATACATGTAAACAAGAAACATTTCTGCGATACCTTTTGGTCAACAGGCTCGCGAGGCGGGTCGAAAGCCGTCCGAACACTAGTCGGGCCGCGACTAGGCAGCAGGAAAAGAAAGGCAAGCGAAGCGAGCGAGCGGGCCACTTCTGCGATACGCGATTGGGACAAAAAACTCGGGTGGCTGGGGCGCCTTGGGCCGCCTCTGGCGGCCTCCGACCCCCCCCCCCAGGGCGCGGTGGCGGATGCGCGGCAGCGCAGCCGCCGGATGTTCAGTCATGCCTGAAGGAGCACAAACGGCATGTGCACAGATGCTCGGGGGTCTGCGCGAATCTCTCGGAGCGGCGTGGGACCCCTAAACAGTGTTTTGGCGATTTCGTGAGCCGTTTTCGTTTCGATGTCGTCTTGCAAAGGCGGATTTATTACAAAACGATGGAAAACGAAAACAACACTAAAACGAAAAACACTGTTCGGCTGCGTTGCCGGGCAGCCGCCACCGTGCTGTGGGGGCGTCGGAGAGACCGCCGGACGAGCGACGGAAGATCACGGGGCGATTGCGCCGACACGCGCGCGGAAGCTGCCCGGACAGGGTCGCACGTGAGCGCCCTCTTCTCCACGCGCTCGGCCACGCTGGCGGTCCGCTGAAGCCGCGGCGCAAGGTCGCTACATCATCTCGCGCAGCACCCGCCCCGGTTCGTCGCCCACGCTCAGGTGTGGCCCGATGTGCGGGCGCATAGGGGTACCCTTTAGTCGGGCATGTCCCTCTACAGGGGGAATACTCAATGAGTGTGGGGACGATTCTTCTACTACTTTATATTGTTTTTGAACATTCTGGAACTATTTTCAATTTTTCCCTCCAAAATCCGCCTGTAGGAGGACATGCCCGACCTAAGGGCACCCCCCACCCCCGCATTCGCCGGAGCGCTCAGATCTGCCCCGCCCCCAAGCCCCCCTGGCGCCCCCCAAGGCCGCGGACCCCAGAAGGTCACTCTCTGCCTGGGGCCGCCACCCGCGCGCAGCTGGAGGAGTCAGGACCCTTCGCCCTCCCCGAGCCCGGGATGCCAGGGCATTACGGGCATCATGCAAGCCAGGACTGTGCGCCAATGCCCTGCTTCGTTAGAGGGGAACAGTTAGTGGACACCCCCCCTGCCCCCCAAGCTCAAAGCTGGCACGCGCGAGGGGAGACTGCGGTCGAGGTGCAGCTCGTCAGACCCACCGCCAACTTTGAACACTGGGGGGAGGGGGAGGCGTGGACCGATGAATGTGTGGCATGAGTGTTCGCTGTCTTCGTTCCGAGGCCTGTTCGTCGAAGGCCCCCGTGTGCGGGGCCCCGACCTCCTCCCGCGCGCTGCCCAGCCGCTGGCCCACTGCGGCCCGCGCGCGCCCCCTTGGGCGCGGGCGATGTGCCGCGCAGGCCCGCTCCTTCGCGCGGCCGCCCTGTCGGCGGCGCCCGCCGTCGCCTCGTGCAGCGGCGTCCAGCGCCGCGGCCGCCTGGCCGCCCGAGCCAGGTTCTGATCGGGCCTGTCCCTGTGCAGGAGGAACATGCAAGAATGGTAAAGAAATGCTCAGGGGACGAGTTTCGATGACTTGTGGACTATTTTGAGCATGTATGTTTATGATGCTGCCCTTCTCCACGGGCGGCGCGAGGGCGCGAAGACGATCGCACGTCGGGCATCGCGGGGCGCGATGAGCGCAGTTAGAATTAAGTCGGGCCTGCCCTCTACAGGAGGAATATTCAAGAACAGTCCAAAAAAATCTGGGGACGATTTGTTAAGCCCTTTTTGACTATTTTGGGGTATCGTTTGACTACTTTTTATTTTTCGTCCAAAATCCGCCTGTAGGAGGACACGCCCGACCTAAAGTTAGAAGTCAGGTGACCTGAGCAGAACCTACGTAGGGGCAGAGGGACCCGCCACCCCTCCATGTCGGAGGTTTCTGGGACTCTTCGTGGGCCCCGAGGTCTCCTGCAAGCCGCCACGAAGAAAAGGCGTCTGGAAGGCGAGAGGCCCACAAGCTCGTCGGCCTCCCGCGGCATTCCCGGGGCACTGGGACCACCAACAAGAGAGGGCTGTGGAGGAAAAGCCGGTCACGGAGAAAGGCCCCAGGCCTCGAGGGCTGTCGCGGGCCCCGATGGCTCTGTGGTCTTGGCCCAAAAGGTGCCCCCGGATGTTTGCGCCAGTTGGGGCAGCTCCGAGGAGGAGGAGGAGGAAGAGGAGGAGGAGGAGGAGGAGGCGGAGGCGGAGGAGGAGGAGGAGGAGGAGGAGGAGGAGGAGGAGGAGGAGGAGGAGGAGCCCTCCGGGCCTCGTCAGGGGTGCTCCGGATGCCGTGTGGGCCTCCCCGAGAAGAGCTGCAGGCCACCCTGGGCCCGGATCCCCACCCCGGCAGCACCCGCAGCTTCCACCAGGGTTCTGCTCCGATGCTCCCGGAGGTCGGCCTCGTCGCCCGGCCGGGCGCGGCGGCCATGAGGAGGAGGTGGAGGAGGAAGAGGAGGAGGAGGAGGAGGAGCAGGAGGAGGAGGAGGAGGAGGAGGAGGAGGAGGAGGAGGAGGAGGAGGAGGAGGGAGGAGGGAGGAGGGAGGAGGGAGGAGGGAGGAAGAGGAGGAGGAGCAGAAAGCGGGCCAGGAGGGGGGTCTCTATAGTTGGGGCTGCGCGGGCGGCTGCTCGTGGGGAGGAGGGGGGAGGGGCGCCCACCCCCCTCGGGGGCGCCGTGGCCAAAAGAGAATGAAAGCGGGCGCTTCTTCCCTGAGCCCTACCTCACGGCGTTCCCTTTCTTAAGTACGAGCATGTTGAAAAGCATGCTGTATCTTATTTCCAGTACACTGCACAGTTCGTCTTGGAGTTCATAAGTGTAGCGGCCCAGGTTTGCTTGTATAGAGCTGAACACTCATAGATGATTCAGCTTGGGTTTTTTAAATCGTCATCAGGAGGTCCCCCCATTCAAATTGGAAAAATGGTACACCCAAAACCTTGGCATCTTGGCCCTCACGGACTGATCCGACTCGAGAGATGCCGCCCAAGGACGCTGCCAAGGGCTCTCCCCGAACGCCGTGATTTTTGTCACGGCGTCAGATGGCGGGGGGGGTCTTCTTGGAGGCTGGTCGGGCCCTCTTGGGGGGGCCCTTCTTGGGCCATCCTGTCGGCCTCGAGTGCCCGTCCGCGCCGTCTTGCAGGCCATCCCTGGGCATCCCTTCGAGGCGCTGGAGGCCGCCAGAGGAGCGGACGAGCAGGCCTTCCCCAGACATGGATTGTGATGTTCCAAATATTGTAGCCTCGATCACCAGAAATAATCTCGAGCACCAAGAAAGTGCCGAAACTTGAGGGGTTGCACGTGTGGGGCCCTGGGAGGCGATACTCGTTCGACACCGTTTCGATACTCTTCTGGGTGCTCGAAAGTATTAGTTCTGGAATGCGGTCCTGAAGTAGGATGAGAGCAACATAAGACAAGGAGAGCAAGTGGAGCTGCCGAGGCCCGGCCCAGCCATTTCTGCTCGCTCCGAAGGCTTTGTCTCGGCGACTCGCAGCAGTGGCCCTCCGCCGGCGAGAGCCCTGGTGCGGGCCCACGGGGCACAGGGCTACCCCCCCTTGCAGGCGTTGGCGCGTTTGGCTCCTATCGATTCGATTCGGCCTCGATCTCGGCCGGCCCGACTCGATTCCGATGTTCGGGCGATCGGATGCGCCCCGATGCCTGCGTGGCGCCGCGGCGCACCCTGGCGCGTCCGATTCGCTTCCGGCTCCGTGCCGATGCGGCCCCATTCGACGCACGCTCCGATCCGATCCGAGTCGTCAGCTCCACGCTGCCTGCTCCTGCGCTCTGGCGTGCAGCCGAGCTTCGGGGGGTGGCACGGCTTTTCCCAGATCTCCGACGTCGTGGTCTTGTCATGGCGTCGGGCCCCAAGTAGGCCCCGGCCCCGTCTCTGGAGACCGGTTTGTCGCCGTGGGCCTCCAGGGCACCCCCAGAGGAGGACCCGACGGGGGCCCAGATTTCAGTCGGGCATGCTCCTCTACAGGAGGAAGATTTGAAAATTAATCCAAAAATAGTCTGGAGATTATTATTCTATCATTGTTTGACCTTTTTGATTATGTGTTGACTACTTATTAATTTCTCTGGTATTTCTTATGTTTGATTGTTTCGACTATGT